GACTTTTAATGAGAATTTGTTACAGGCAACCAGGTGATACTATTGAGAAACTGCACAATGAGAGTAAGATTTTACCTGTTAATGAAGTCATAATTATGGGTGATTTTAATTTGAAGCATATAGATTGAGAAATGCTAGAGTCAAACCGTGAGGGAGAAACGTTTTGGAAACTGCTCAAGGTGTCTTTCTTCATCAAATAGTCAAGGAGCCTACTAGAAGCAATGCTATTTTAAATTTATTGTTAACTTTAAATATAGAAATGGTCGAGAGGGTGGAAATTGGAGAACATCTGGGTTCAAGTGATCATTGTTCTATTAGGTTCAATGTTTTGCTGTATATTTTGGTTGCAAAAAGCAAATTTTGAATAGATGTGACAAGAATCATCTGCTGTGAATTGGCAGCTGAGTTATTTGGAAAATTTTTAAATATTCAAGGTAAACATATTCCTTATATAAAGAAAAGGGTAGCTGCAAGTAAAAACCAGGTTGACTCGCAAAGAGTATAAGAGATAAAACTAAAGATAAGCATCATAAATTTAAACTGACTGGTATGATGGGAGGTTTAGAAGATTATAAAAGATCAGAAAATTATTATATCAAAAAGGATGCATGAGAAAAGGTTGGCTGAAAATGTAAAAATTAACAGTAAGAATTTCTTTAAATACATTAAGGGTAAACACATTTTTAGGATAGGGTTATGACCCTTGAAGGATAATAAAGGAAGGCTCGAATCTGATGATTGTGAGATGGCTGGGTTATTAACGTTTTTTTTCTTTAGTTTTTACTAATGAAGATATAATTAGTATTCCATATCTTGAACAGTTGATAGATGGAAACAAGATGACTGAATTAATTCTGAGCTGGTTAAGAAAACATTAGGGGGTTTAAAGAACGATAAGTCTCCTGGGTCAGATAATATTTCCCCAAGGGTTTTGAAGGAAGTTAAAGATCGGATATGTGAGCCACTTGCTACTATTTTTTGTAAGTCCTTGGATAGTGAGCAGGTGCCAAAAGATTAGAAGTTAGCTAATGTCACTCTTCTTTTCAAGAGAGGTAATAAAAATTGTCCCAATCATTATTGGCCTATTAGTCTTACATCAGTTGTGAGAAAATGTTTGGAAAGTCTGATAAAAGATGCTTTACAAAGCCATTTAACAAAAGTTAAAATTTTATTGGATAGTCAACATTGTTTCACTAAGGGAAAATCTTACCTTATAAATCTTTTGACATTTTGTTTTCAAAACGTCACTGCTTATGTAGATGAGAGTAAGATTGTAAATTTGGTGTATCTGGATTTTCAGAAAGCATTTGACAAGGTGTTACATAAAAGGTTTGTGAAAAAAATTATCTCTATAGGTGTGGAGGATAAATTAGCTAATTGGATAGAAGGTTGGCTGAGTGGAAGAATGCAGAGGGTTGTTATAAATGGAGTTCAGTCAAACTGGATTAATGTTACAAGTGGTGTACCTCAGGGCTCAGTCTTTGGATCTTTGCCCTTTTTGATTTACCTCAATGACATAGAGGAAAAAAATTGTCAATAAATTACACCCAAGCAGTGTGCTGTTGCTAATGGTAGGGCAAATAGGATTTTAGGTTGTATCTAAAAAAATATTGAATACAAGTCTAAAGAGGTTATAATTTCACTGTATAGGTCACTGGTTAGACCACACTTGGAGTATTGGGTTCAGTCTTGAGCTCCTTACCTTAGGAAGGATATTGAATTGTTGGAAAGGGTTCAGAGGAGAGTTACAAGAATGGTGTCTCATATGGAGGGGTTGTCCTTTGAGGAGAGGTTGAAGTCTCTCAAATTGTTTTCTCTTGAAAAAAAGAAGAGTTAGAGGGGGATCTGATTGAGGTGTTTAAGATTCTAAAGGGATATTATAGCGTTGATGTATCGTCTTTTTTCATACTTAACGGTGAGAACAGTAGAACTAGACGACACAAACATATATTTTGGCAGGGTAGGAGTCATCTTCAGCTAAGACAGTTTTGTTTTTCTAACAGGCGGTTGGCCTCTGGAATGGGTTGCCTTCGGAAGTTGTGGAGGCAGTGAATTTAAGTGAGTTTAAGTGAAAGCTTGATAAGCATATGAATTATCAGGGCTGGCTCTATGATTTATTTATTTATTTATTAATAGTTTTAGTTTATTTTAGAGGCTGGGACAGCCGAGGTGCACCAATAGGTCCCATGTTGTCGCAAAACATTATGCTATGTTAAGTCTCACGTAGTTTTTTATTTGTTATGTAAGTATTGGTAAAGATATATATATATATATGTAGAATATGATCCGTAAAAATGAAAATTTATAAAGATCACGTTTACATATCTTAAATTGGAATTACAAGTGAATGAACAAGATTATGTAAAAGTTTATTGTTGTTAGTTGTTGTTTTTATTCGTTTATCAGAATCTAATTAATTTATTAGTGACTGACAAATCAGTTGTTATATCTGTTTTTCTAGTTATCAGTGTACGTTTTTTGTCCGTATTTTAATGTTTTTGAAACTATTTAATGTCCATTATAAACTGAGAATTAAGATGAGTTAGTGTTAATCATTTCAATATATATAAAGAAACACTATATTAGCTAAACAAATTTTGTGGTTAATACTTCTTATATACATCTTTCAGGTGTTCATAAAGAGGTACTTCAAGAGTACCAGACAACCCCGTCTCGTAAGTATAAGTTATAAATAGAAATATAGATATGGATAGATTGATGAGATAGCTAATATCTTAAACAACAGTTATAAGTTGATGAATACAATATTTTTACAACCAGTTCAAATTATTCCAGTTTGTAGCATAGCTATCTACTGTGTGTTTGGACATAAACACATGGCTTCCAGTTCAATTACATAATGATTTTCAGAACGTAAGATAAGTGCTTATATCTATTGGTCTCGCGGTCAATGACGGTAAATGCTGATGAATTTGCATTCTGAAAATTAAATCTAAATAAATATTTTACGAGCCTATCTTCTAAAAATGTTTGAATATATGTTTGAAGAATTTTTATCCTTTTTCTTGCATTTCACGAAACAAAAGTTTGTGTGTATATTTGGTTATCTCTTGTAAGTTGTCCTTGATTATAATGTAGACTTGTGTATTTTGTACATTATGTTCAAATCTTCTTCTCGATAAAGCCTTATATATTGAACCATGTGAAAAAACCGGTCTGGAAGAAATATTCTTACCTGATAAAATGTTTGATCCTGCGAATTATTATTTGTGATGGCAAAGACAATGAATTTTATGGCAAATTCACGAAGGTGTAACTTTTAATGAAAAATGCTTATCATTTGTTGCAATAATTTTTTAAAAAACCTCTTACCAAAGGTGAAAAACATCAATAATAAGGTATTGTAGCACCATCTTTTGGTTTGAGATAGTTGAGCTGTTTTTGCACATACAGACGATGGTGTTTATTATGTAACAAGCTGAGGTATCCGTTCTTTGACCGGATTATGAACTTAGAAAAATGTAGCGGTGGATGCTATGATAAATAGCACAAAAATTCTAACTTTCACACAATTTATTTATATCATAACATATTATTACAATATTTATTATTACCTCACTAAAAGTTTTGTATAAGGTTTTGTTTGTTTGTAATTAAGCACAAAGCTACACGATGGGCTATCTGTGCTCTGCCAACCACGGGTATCGAAACCCGGATTATAGCGTTGTAAGTCCTCAGACATACCGCTGTGCCACTGGGAGGGGGGCTGAGATAAGGTTAAGTACACAATATGTATATACTTAAAACATGATATACACTGTGCGATGGTCAGGGTAACTTTGTATAAAGAGGTAGCATACAAAGTAGTGACAGTAGGGGTGCTTTCTGTTACCGGCTGTCAACATCCAGCTCTTAATGTCCTTCCACAGTGTTTCACGTGATTAATTAATTGTCGGTCATTGGCTTTAGAAGTGGCTTACGGGCCGAAGTTGAAACGTTACGGGTAGGAAGCAGGTATAACTGAAGAAAAGACTCTTCATATCAGCCTTATGGTTGTGCTTGGAGTAGAAACTTTATCTGAGTTTATGTATTATTGAAATAATGGCAATAATTTATCATTGCATTCCTCCATAAGGAGTACAAGCATAATCTCCGAGATATATAAGACGTCAGTTTGCCCTCCTCCCACACTTTGCATATATTGCTTATAAAAAATGTAATATTTTGTAAGGACGTGGCGCCATCAATGAATGTAGTTAACGTTAACTTACACTAAAGATAATAAATGCCCAGTAACAACAATAATGAAGGTGATTGAGGTTGTTAACCCCCATTAACATGCCTCTTATTCCAAACTATAATACGACCTAGGAGTAAATAAATAACTGGCAAACAGACAGACACACATAGTTTTGTGCTTTGCATATATATACAGATATTATGTTATCCCTAATTTAATCTATACTTATATTTGTATTTTTCAAAATATTCAGAAATCTTGTAGTAAATATATAACTATAATAATAAAACTGGAAATTGAAATTGAGACTTCCACGATAGTCAAGCGCTATATCCACTATAACACCTTGTCTTTGTAATCGAATATTAACATATAATTTAAATCCCTTATGTAAAGTATCGTTTTATTGTGTTTTTTCCTAATATTGTAAAATCCTTTCCTAAACATGAGTTAATAATTTAAAAAAGGTATAAAAATTCCCTATTCGACTGGGATTTGAAGTCGAGATTTCTGCTTGAGACAAACCACTGAACCAATTTGAGGGTTATCAACAGAGAGTTGAGCGTTACCGACAAAGGGAGTGTTCTGATCAGAGAGTGGATTTTATTATATAGATATATTAGTACTGTATCGATGAATTTATTGAGTTCTAAATACACTTTACAAAAGTATTTCAAATCACAATTTATTTTTATTAATATTCGGGTGGCATGCAATATATGTAAAATAATTTTAGAGTAACGAAAATAAGCCAACATCCGTTAGCTAAACTAATGGTGACTGAATAAACCACACAACGAACTTATTCTTTCCTAATTCTTTGTGTAGTGAATATATAACTTTCCATCATTCACTGAATATTTTAAAGGTTCAAAGATTATGAATCTAACTATTATGAATATTTCTATATTCTTTAAATTGAGATAATTAGGGCAGTTGTCCTTGTTTTTGTTAAGTTTGATTTCTTCTGCTTAAAAATCACATTACTTAAATATTTTAAAATTGATTGTTTATACTTCAGCTCATACAGCAAGTCTAACAGATTAACTGAAAATTAATAAGGTCAGAGTTGAGAGTGGAGTTAGGGTTAAGTGAGTTCATTGAGTCTTCACTGAGTTGGTAAAAGTTACAATAACGAATAATTTTTCAAAATTTAACATTTTCGGAGAAAAATTCACAATCCAATTTTGGGCATAAAATGTTTGAAAATTTTATCCCCATTAAAATAAATCTTACTTAAGCAATTATTGTTAATGAAAGGTTGTTGTAATCAAGTAGACTTGAATCTAGGCCAAACAATAACGCTATATGACATTTGGTTAGGCACAAACAACTGTTGAAACTATAACTTGTTAGGGGACTAACGACTGCATTTTGGAAATGGCTTACTTTTTAACGGTGATTTCAACAATAACGGTTTTGTGAGTTATAAATAACTTTAGTAAATAGTTTAATCTCGAAATACGTAATATTCCATACAAGAGATTTTAACAGTGAGGTTATTTTCACAAGTAAAATAACGTCACACTTAAACTTAGTTACTTATACCAAAAACAAGATTCGGGTTGTTTGTACAATGTAATAAACCATAATCTTTACAATTATTTATTTCAGGTATTTGATTTTAATATTTTTTAAATTTAGAATCTTCCAAACAGGTCTCACAAAGCCACTCATATTTTCTATCTTTTTAAGCCAAAAGCACAGTGACCGTTCAACCTTCCAACGTCTCAAAAAGTAAGTATAAAGTTCATTGTTTATTATAATTTAAATCTAAAGTATAACATCAAAGCTAACTAAAAAAGCTGTAATAATAATAATAATCTTTATTAAAAGATATGAAATCTGTACGACAATGTATAGCACATTCGAGATATGTTTCCAGCCTGCACTCGAGGAGTTAGCACTTGTACACTCAATCTCTGTGATTATCACCTAGTGCTTAACTCAACTGAGATACTTAGCTGTTGTTGTTATTTTAATGTTGCAAAACGCTTATTTTAAAAGTAGCGATTAGTAGCATTACAATGGAATCGCGTATTAGAAAAAGCTATTTACAGGAGTGTTTCTATCTTAACGATGTGGATTTAGCAAGTAGATGTAGTGGATGAAACCAAAATGAGAAGGAATTCATTCTTTTTGTGTTTGTAGAAAGAAATTAATTAAATTTTACTATGAAGAAAAAAATCTATCTTCCAATCCTGAAAATATTATTACTAAGATTATAGAGCAGCAAATAAACATGTTTAATATTTAAAGTACTAGAAGCAAACACTGTGTGTAACTAAATTTGATTTTCACAATCTAGTTTTAAAGATTTCCTCGGTTTCACTTTGTAGCTCGAATGATTACAGAAATTAAATGTAAAAAGCTGTTTGTTTGTTTTGGATGTTTGCGCAGAGCTACACAAAGACTATCTGCACTCCATTCCTGATTTTGAACTGATAAACCAAGGGGAAGGCAGCTAGTTAAAAGCACCCACAGCCAGCTCTTGGGTAACTATTAGCTAATCGAATAGTGGGATTTGACTGTCACTTTTATGTAGCCCTAAAAGTGCAAAGAGCGATTTTTTAATATCGGAACGCAAAGCATGAACCTCCGGATTCACAATCCGAGCACGATAAGCAATTAGCCACGCCTCACCATATATAAACCCTACATTCATTTTATAATAAAATCAACAATTTCACTAACCGTTTTATTTCCTTCCTTAAAAGTGAATGGTATTGATGTTACATTTTAATTGTCCAATAGTTTTCTTATTCTTGAGTTTATATATAACTTGTAGTTCATGTACGTAACATTTAAGGTAGCTTACACTGTGGTTCAATATGGCCTCTTATTCATGGAACCCCGTTAACAAAAATTAAGGTAGCTTAAACTAAATATCCTTTTTTTTTAAGGATACACATTCACTACCTGTGGTGCGAAAGGACCTGAAGGCCCATCATCTGTGGAATGTGAGAAAGCCTACTTGAAGACAGGTATCAGAGTCGCTGTCGCTGAAGACTTTCCTTACAAAGGTGCACAAATGTGGACGGTTCCTGAATCAGGAGTCTACACGTAAGTGTGTGAAGATCCTGTTCAAAAGAAACAGATATACAGATTCTGAATGTAGATGTTATCAGTTGCAAGCTAAAAGCTAGTTTGAAATTTGCCGTGAACAGTATAACAATAGTTGTAAAGTCATGTAGTTTCCTATAATGATATAAGAGAGTACATCACTCTTGCTGAATAGATCGGAATGTAATACCTACATTTTAAGGAACCCACGTTTCCACTCCTATTAAATACATTATTTTATTATACCAAGAACTTATTTTTTTTCAGGGTTTTCGCCACAGGTGCAGGAGGAGGTCAAGGAGTAAAAAATCGCGATATTAGTCGAGGTGCTCTTCTTCGTGCAGTATATCGCTGGAATGCTGGAGAAAAAATATTTTTCTTGGTTGGCCAACAGGGTGTCAGCGCCTGCACAAAGGTGTGAATGAGAAGAGATGTAGTGTTTGTAATGTTCAAATATCGTTCAGTACTTTACCACGTGCCATCCAACACCATGGTATTATTGATAATATTGACTAGGACTAGAAGCAAAAACTAATGAAATTATTTTTATTTTCGAAAACTAATTTTATTTAGCAGAAATAAAATACTGACATTTGAAAAGAGGTGCTAAAATTAATTAAAATGATCCATTTTTAAGTTCTCAAAATGTATTTTGTGATCTCAGTGTTAAATTCTCGAAATTGATTTTTACAAACGTATTTGTCCTCCGGTGGGTCAGCGGTAGGTTTGCGGACTTAATCGCTAAGATCTGGGCTTCAATTTCCCCGCAGTGGACACAACAAAAAGCCTAATATGGCTTTGCTCTAAAACAACTAAACAAAGCAACGTATTTACTTTCATACACTTATAAAGCTTTATGATGTAATTTGAGTGGTTTTTAAAGTTGATTTTAGAATAGGCAATTATGGTGATTTTCCTAATACAATTTTTGTAATGTCCATTAATTTGTGATGTTGGATATACACTATTACATACACATGTTTCGTGTACTAATAAGTTGTTTGAATCTAAATAGTAACTAGCTGGAGTATTTATGTTTTTTTAAGTAACAAACTATTCAATTTTCTTTTATAGTTAGTTTTATTAAACATTATTGGTTATAAAGTTTAAAGCATTTTTATATACTTTTTTTAAAAGAATTTGTACTACACATACAGAAGATAATTTTGTGGAGTTCTATTAGAGTACGGATTTAGGACTAACCTAATCCTCCTAAGCTGGATGAATCATGTGCGATATTAGTTTGGACTATGGCCAAAAATCGTAAATAGCTACAGTACCCAGATGATTTGATTATTATACGTTTTACTTTTATAGTGTACTGAGTTATAATAGTAAGTTATAGTATTTCTAATCGATTGGTTTGTTTGATTCTCTTCATTAATGTCTATGTTACTTTTAAATTACTTTAGCTCGAATCGACAAAATTAGTTAGTATAATTTTTGTCAGAAGTTCTTAATAATTAATACTACATTTAAACTGGGTCAGTAACTAAAAGTTTTACATTTTCAACTTTAGTTCTACAAATGCAAACGTGCATTATTAAAATATTCAGATTTAGTTATTAGTAGAATTATCTTACGGAATTCTGTGTGACTTTTAAAATTATTTTCAACAGTTCTTTCGAAATACGTTTTTCTGGAATAATTTTCGTACTTGATCTGCTCTAAGTTAATTCCTATGTTTACTACTTTCGCTTCATATACCATAACTACTTCTACGTTCTTTAACTCGGAATTCATTTAAGGAGTTTATTTCAGTCTTTATCTCTTCCCACCTGTGAAACAAAAATAAACTAGTTATCCCATATGTGGCATAATGAATATATGTGTGTTCCGAATCATATGATCACTGCTGGCTCAGCGGTAAGTTTTAGGACAGTAGTGGGCAGGGCATAGATAGCCCATTAATATATTTCATATTTTCTTTCTAACAGGGAAAATAAAGCATTAGTCATACATTTTTAAAATAAAATCTGTGTAGGATCCATGATTATAACATAATTCTTTTTCTTGCTTTTTTTTTGACAGGATACGCCGCTATCGGTGAGTTTCTTTTTTCGGTCTTAGTTTGAAGAATTAGTTTTAAGTGAAAATGTTTGTACATTACTTAGTTTGGGAACGATTTTCACAATACAAAATGTAACTGTAGGTAGGTTAGCCTACTTCTATGGAATAAAACATGCTTATAGATTATAAAAAATACGAGTTTTTAATATTACTAACTCAAAAATTATATTTATAACTTAAGATTTAATAAAATAAGAATCAATTGCCTGTTTATATACTTTCAATATCAAAAGAAATGAACTCTAAAAATGTCTTAGTTTAAGAGTTGACCTTCTGACAAAGTAAAAAAGAAAAGCATTATGTTAATCACTGTAAAGACAGAACATAGTTTTGAAATTTGAAATGAAGAGTAATATATAAGGTTCTTTTAAATTTATAAATCTCGTTTAAGGAAATGATTATTTTAAACAACTATTTTCTTAAACCAACTACAAATGTTGTAAAGTAGGTGATGTCCACTATATGTATAATTTTTTATGAAGGATTGATGTCCCTGTTACTATCTTTGGAAGTGAACTTTGTGTGCTTCTTTCGTATTATAACTCTCTTTACCATAGACTTCGTTAGATGCCTTGTAGGCCTAACGCAAAGAAAAAAAAACAGTTACATAATTTGTATATACGTGTGTGAGTGCTTACATACTTGATTATATACACCTGGAAAAAAGTTAAGCACCCCCGTGTTTTTTTCAAGTGATTCAGATTCGAACGTTCTTGTGACTGATTATAAATTACCATTCAATCTAAACGTGTTTAT